CAAAACATTATAAAATTCTCACGACGTTTCGGCCACAACGCAAGCAGCCGTCCTCAGGTGAAGAACAGGTCTGTCGGAAAGACAGCGTCTGACTACAATACCATACACTACAATACACTACACTACCATACACTACACACTACACTACAATACACTACACTACCATACACTACACACTACACTACCATACACTACACCACCATACACTACTCTACCATACACTACACACTACACTACAATACACTACAATACCATACACTATACACTACACTACCATACACTACACACTACACCACCATACACTACATTACCATACACTACACACTACACTACAATACACTACAATACCATACACTACACACTACACTACCATACACTACAATACCATACACTACACACTACACCACCATACACTGCACTACCATACACTACACACTACACCACCATACACTACACACTACACTACTATACACTACACTACCATACACTACACACTACACCACCATACACTACATTACCATACACTACCATACACTACACACTACAATACCATACACTACACACTACACTACAATACACTACAATACCATACACTACACACTACACCACCATACACTACACTACCATACACTACACACTACACTACCATACACTACAATACCATACACTACACTACCATACACTACACACTACAATACCATACACTACACTACAATACACTACCATACACTACACACTACACCACCATACACTACACTACCATACACTACACACTACACTACCATACACTACAATACCATACACTACACTACCATACACTACTATACACTACACTACCATACACTACACTACAATACACTACACTACCATACACTACCACTACACTACCATACACTACAATACCATACACTACACTACCATACACTACTATACACTACACTACCATACACTACACTACATACCATACACTACACACTACACTACCATACACTACAATACCATACACTACACACTACACCATACCCTACAATACACTCCATACCCATACACTACCTACCATACACTACACTACCATACACTACAATAGCCATACACTACACTACCATACACGTACACCTACCATACACTAACTACCATACACTACTCTACCATACACTACACTATACACTACTCTACCATACACTACACTACCATACACTACACTACCATACACTACACTACCATACACTACTCTACCATACACTACTCTACCATACACTACACTACCATACACTACACTACCATACACTACACTACCATACACTACTCTACCATACATACACTACCATACACTACACTACCATACACTACACTACCATACACTACTATACACTACACTACCATACACTACAATACCATACACTACACACTACACTACCATACACTACAATACCATACACTACACACTACACCACCATACACTACTCTACCATACACTACACACTACACTACCATACACTATACACTACACTACAATACACTACTATGCACTATACACTACACATTGGGCTATATGGAAGCCTGTCGTTAAGCGATCAGTCGTTGACAGGGGTTCTACTGTATGTGAGTGCACGTCAGCCCACGAGGTGAAAGGGATGAGGCAGTGAGATCACGCGGCGCACGCAAAGATGCCGAGAGCGACGATGGCGATGAGGGCGGCGGCGACGATAACGACGAGGTGAAGCCTTACCAGCCTCCGCTGTTCCCTCTCTCGGCGCGCCTCCCTGTCGCTCCTCATCATCTCCACCTTTTCGTGGCTCGTCGTCGCAAAGAAGATGTCATGGACGTCGTAGAGAGCGGCTCTCAGCTAAGACGAAAACGACACGGCGCATCAACAGCACGCCCCATAGAGACCACGCTCCATAGAGGCCACGCCCCACAGACACCACGCCCCACAGACACCATGCCCCACAGACGCCACGCCCCACAGACACCACGCCCCACAGACACCACGCCCCACAGACACCATGCCCCACAGACGCCACGCCCCACAGACACCACGCCCCACAGACACCTCAAGTGATGTCATCGGTGGTGCTGGTGGCCATGAGCGGCAATCGAAGTCAGGTCGCCGGGTTCGTAGCGCAGCGCGCTAACCGCTACACCACCACTCCCCAAAGACAAAAGTCCCCCGTATAGCCTTTAAACAGACTGTTGGGGCAAGTGCTCTTCGCGAGGACCTATGAAGGCACGCTCGGCCGTCTCTGTCTCCCCGGTGGTGAAGTTTACACATCGCACCAGGTACTCATTTGAGGCCGAGTCAAACTAGGGGAGGCCCAGGACCAGTTCAGATAATCGTCACCGGCGTTGGCCGTGAACGGGAATCAAACTCGGGTCGCCGGGATCGTAGCGTACTAAACCGCTACACCACTGCTCCCCCCACAAACTCCCTCACGCGCACAAACACCCCCCCACACACTCACACGCTGTCTCTCACACTCGCTCTCTAACACACACTCTCACTCAAAGACACTCGCACATACACAGCGCGCACGTACACACGCACGCGTAAACACACGCGCACAAACACCCCCCCCACACACTCACACGCTGTCTCTCACACTCCCTCTCTAACACGCACTCTCGCTCAAAGACACTCGCACGTACACATGCGCACGTACACAGCGCGCACGTACACACGCGCGCGTACACACACACGTACACACACGTACACACGTACGCACACGCGTGTGTGTAGGCGGTCGCGCACACCTGAGCGAGAGCCCTCTCGTACAGCGCCGAGTCCTGCGTCGACCGAGAGCGGCGGGGAGGAGTTGCCTGCCTCAAAGAGTGCAGCAGATCCCGTGTGTCCTGTGTGGCACAGCACACACGCAGCACACACACACACAGCACACACACACAGCACACACACACACAGCACACACACACACACAGCACACACACACACACAGCACACACACACACACAGCACACGCACACAGCACACACGCAGCACACACACACAGCACACACACACAGCACACACACAGCACACACACACACAGCACACGCACACAGCACACACACACACACAGCAGATCCCGCGTGTCCTGTGTGGCACAGCACACACGCAGCACACACACAGCACACACACAGCACACACACAGCACACACACAGCACACGCAGCACACACGCAGCACACACGCAGCACACACACACACACAGCACACACACACAGCACACACAACACAGCACACACACAGCACACACACAGCACACACACACACAGCACACACACACACAGCACACACACAGCACATACACAGCACACACACAGCACACACACAGCACACACACACACAGCACACACGCAGCACACACGCAGCACACTCAGCAAAGAGAAAGATCCCCCGTGTAGCCTTAACAAACTATTGGGGCAAGTGCTGTTACCGAGCACCTATGAAGGCCGGCACGACACACGAGGGGGTGGGTGGCCAGCACCACGCCCGACCGCCTTTGTCTCCCTCATGGCGATAATTACACATCGAACCCGGTACTCATTTGAGGCTGAGTTGACCTAAGGGAGGCCCAGGCCCGGTCAAAATAATCGTCACTTGTGTTGGCTGTGAGCGGGAATCGAACTCTGGTCGCCGGGTTCGTAGAGCAGTGCGCTAGTCAACGACACTACCGCACACACACACACGGGTTTCCTCCAGGTTCCACTAAAACAAAAATCCACGCATCTGTATCTGGCCTTGGCCATACATCCCAACGCTGACAAGTTTACCTGCAAACCACTCCATTGGGTTCACACACAGCGGCAACATCGCCCTCCCCCCCCGACCCCCACTGCGAAAACTTGCCAGGACCCACCCTAAAACGAGTCTTGAGACTCAACAAGCTTAACGATCGTAACAATCTTCTTGGTTCTTTCGGAAAAACATAATAAAATTTCGATTTAAAGCTTTCGTGACTGCAGGGATTCATCTTCTTGGTTCTTTCGGTAAAGTCACGTAGAAGGGAAAGCTTTAAATCAAAATTTTATTATGTTTTATTTTTATTATTTTATTACTTCCCTTAAAATTTTCCTTAAAACATAATAACATAATAATTATTTTATTAAGTTTTATTATTATTATTTTATTATTTCCCTTCTACGTGATAATTTAACGTTTTATTTATTTTATTATTTCCATTCTACGTGACTTTACCGAAAGAACCAAGAAGATGAATCCCTGCAGTCACGAAAGAAGCTTTACATCGAGATCGTATCAATAACCACAGCGGCGAACGCTTCGCCCAGCGACTGCCGTCGGCCACAATTGCCGTAACGCTGCCCACGCGGCCGACGGCCTCGTAGGGAAAGTCGAGCGGCCAAACCCGACGCCAGGCACCCACCTTGACGGTCTGCTTGAGCTGCTGCACCTTCTCGGTAGCGAGAAGTCGTCGTGTGAGGAACCCTCTGGCCAACGCCGTCACTCGCTGTTCCACAGGGAGGGGTGGGTGGGTAGGTGGGTGGTGGGGGAGGTGTAGGAAGAGAGATGGTGAATGCTAGATCAGCGATAATCAGGAGAGAGCCGTGTGATACGCAGGAGAGGTCCGTGCGATACGCAGGTGAGGTCCGTGCGATACGCAGGAGAGGTCCGTGTGATACACAGGAGAGGTGCGTGTGATACGCAGGTGAGGTCCGTGCGATACGCAGGAGAGGTCCGTGTGATACACAGGAACTGGCCGTCAACAACCTCCCATGCCCGCCCCTACCTCTCCCTTGAGCCGACTGTCGTCTTTCACCGCGCGCCAGTAGCTCCCGCAAGTCACCTTCGCCCGCACTCCCATGACACCGCACAGCTCCATCTCCAGACACCTCTTCACCAGCTCGCGCTCCACCTCTCCCCCTCCTCCCCTGAGGCTGGCGAGGAGCGCCGGTGACGGCGTGGCGACGTCGTAGGACCTGTTCAGCGGAGCGGCGCGCGCCGCCCGATTCGTTTCCGAATCGGCCCGAGCCGCGGCGGCCTCGACGCCCGAACGTGGCGCCGCGCCGCCGTCGCGAGCGCGGGGAGAGCGCTCGAAGCTCCGCTCCGAGAGCCAGGCGCAAGGCGGAAAGGCGGACGGTAAAGAAGGACGTCCGGCCACAACGCCGAGGCACTCCGCAAACATTCCGTCCGCGCTGCCGCCACCGCCGAAACCTCCTCCTTCTGATCTCGTTCTTCGGTCTCCTTGTGATCCTCCCGATCGGCCTGCTTCCTCTCGTCTTCTGTCGACGATTCCTGCATCTCTGTTTCTCCCCCCGTGCACTTCGGTCCGCGTAGGCCTTCCCCCAGCCCAAACGTTCCTTCGAATGCCACGCTCGTTCCCTCGCGTCTCATTTCTAACATTCGCTCCAATGCTCTTCCTTCTGCCTCTCCTCCGCTGGTGCCTTCTGCAACTTCTCCTCTTCGTCTTTCCTCTCCAACCATTTGTCCTTCTCCCCAGTAGATCCCTTCTCCCATCAGCCTGCCTATTCCTCCCCATCTTCCTCCTCCTCCGCTTGTTATTTCTGCTCTACGTTCCCCTCCTACTCCTCCTCCTCCTTGGCCCAGCGGCGAGGTCCTCTCCATCAGCATGAGCGCCTGCGCCTCAAGCAGCCGCGCCACCTCGCTCCACTCGTCGGCACCTCCATCGTCGCTACCGCACGCCGGCTCGCGGGCGCCCTCCGCAAGGAGCGCAGCGCTGGCCGACGCAGGAAGGAAACCGCCGCCGCTTCCACCACCACTGCCACCGTCACCACCAACACCGCCAACGCGATCGCCATCGCTACCACCGTCAATTATATTACCACGGCGGCACTGATAACACCGCCACCACCGCCACTGCCAATGACATCAATGCCACCACTAACACCACTACCGATGACACCACCGCCACTGCCAATGACATCAATGCCACCACTAACACCACTACACATGACACCACTGCCACCACTAACACCACCACCGCCACTGCCAATGACATCAATGCCACCACTAACACCACTACACATGACACCACCGCCACTGCCAATGACATCAATGCCACCACTAACACCACTACCGATGACACCACCGCCACTGCCAATGACATCAATGCCACCACTAACACCACTACCGATGACACCACCGCCACTGCCAATGACATCAATGCCACCACTAACACCACTACACATGACACCACTGCCACCACTAACACCACCACCGCCACTGCCAATGACATCAATGCCACCACTAACACCACTACACATGACACCACCGCCACTGCCAATGACATCAATGCCACCACTAACACCACTACCGATGACACCACTGCCACCACTGCCAGTGACACCACTGCCACCACTGCCACCACCACCACACTGCCAATGACATCAATGCCACCACTAACACCACTACCGATGACACCACTGCTACCACTGCCAGTGACACCACTGCCACCACCACTACCACTACCGATGACACCACTGCCACCACTAACACCGCCACTGCCAATGACGCCAATGCCACCACTAACACCACTAACACCACCGCTTCCATCATCGACGACCAATTCCGCCACCGACAGACTAGGCGAGTCCGACCGTGCAGCCATCTCGGTGTAAACCCCGGCGCTCGGCTCGCCGGGAGGACGACAGCCGTCACCGTCACAACCGTCACCGCCGTCACCGCCGCCACCACCACCAGCGACGTCGTCCCCTGCATCGCCGATTTTTCACCAGCAGTACGGAAACGATCGGCGTCAAGGTCGGAGCGGGCACTC